AGAAGGACGAATACGATGCAAGGCGGTGATCGTCACGAATGAATCATCCGATCTTTGACTCAACTTGTTAATTTTTTTCTTATTCTAATTCGATAGTAACGAATCAATTAATATAAATAAACATTTAGTTGGTATTTATACATTACCAGACCACACATTTTGTTTATTTGTGTTATAATGACGACAAATGGGTTTGACTAACACAAACTTGCGTGAGCCTTTTAAACTATTGTGATTGCAAATGGAGAATAAAAAAAAAGATTTTCTGTGCAGTTTTTGTAATGAGGCACAAAAGCGTCGTTGCTGCCTTTTGTCTTTCACTGCAGAAATGTGATGTTAGAACTGGTGTTTTTAATGAGCATTTTTTCGAGAATGAGACTTCCACTTTGCTTTGAATATCAAAGTGGGTTTTCCTAATTCGTTCTGAAACAAAGGAGGTAAAGTCGGAACAATTTTTTAGGAAGTTTTTTTACTGCTTCGTAGTCGTATTTTTCGCACTTTCACTTCTATATGTGTGATCAGCTCCGTTTACCTTCTGTAAGATTAGAATAAAGTATAAAAGACTAAATTTTTTTTTTTATGAAAGAGCAAATATCTCCACATCTGTTGAGTAAAAATAAAAAACACGAACAATACTAGAATAAACAGGTGTGCACGGCTACAGATCTATATAAACTACTGCTATTTACATGATTTAACTCTAATTGCCATCTACCCATTGATTATCTCGCAAACTACATTTTTTAAGCATACATGCTTATATTTCTCGAACAAGTTTTTATTAAACACATTGTGTGTAAACGGTAGACGCATGGCATTGTTAAGTTTTTTTGTAAATTTAAGAACAAGTTTACCGAACAGGATGATAGTTTCCGTGACCAACGAGGATTCAGTGTGTTCAAATACACACACAAGAAACGAAAACAATAAAGAAAATAAATCGTTGTTTTCTTTAACTTGCAATGCTGTCGAAAAGGTCATATAAAAAATTGAAATTAATTAGACACAATTTTCTAACATTGACCTGCAATTAGGTACTTTCATGCGCGAAGAGTGGCAGTCCAAAAAAATATGGACAAAAAGTTTGGCGTAAACAAAAAAACAGAGTGCACGGTTAGGAGTATAATGGTAACTTTTTACATTTTAGCTATAGAAAGAAAGTATGCAATCACACTTTAGTTGAAAATTTCATTATAAACACTAATTCAATCAGTCACTTTTTTTGATAAATTAAACTAAAAAAGATTATTTAACGTAACATTTTCTCTTTGTGACATTGATAGAATGCATGTTTAGTAATTTTGTCATGCAAAACAACTCCGACATGAAAGGTCATATGGAACGTTTTTAAAATCTCCTAATTATCATTTGTTCTTCTTGATCAACATGCTTTTCGATTGATTTTATACTAATTATGGATGTATTAAAACGTGAGAATATTCAGCGTTATATTATGCGTAGCCTTTATTGTTATTTTTGTTACTTGATATGTTGTACGTGAAGAATTAAAATGTTTACAATAAGAGGGATGCTAATACTAAAGACTACTAAGATAAGGTTTATAGCAGAAATTGGGATAGATTTGTTATTGTCCATGTTGATATAGATTCTGTTTTTTTGACAATAGACTTTTAAGTTACACATTGACTCTGCTCTAAAGTGTCTTTTGAAGTTGTCAGTAATTGGATATAGTCGAGTTCTGTTCCTACAGTACTAGTTGAAGTTTTATTTTTAGATGAGACGATAGATTACGCTTCTCCTTTTTTCGTGATCTATCCAAAGTTGTGTTGGCCTGTAGGATTTCTCCTTTAAAGGGTCTAAGCTAATCAGAGACAGTATCCGAATCAGTTTGCTGCCTTTTAGACTATAGTATACTACTATAAAACGAACAAATTTTTGTTTACATGCAATACTAAAGGGCATTACTATCTTGTGTTATTAAAGAAGTTTCTGTTTTTTTTTGTACTGATATTAAAGAGTGGATGATGACATTCTTATATATGAAGTAAATGATTCATCAGGAATTTATTTCCTGATGCGGTTTACTGACACTCTAATATTTAGACCATATCTCAACTACTGATCTCAGTTAACTTTCTAACCAGTCAGTATTCTTAATTTCGACTTAAGTCATGTTTTCTTAATGATTTAACGTTTTATCGGTTGATCAGATTCGTTAATGCGCTTTAACTTTTGTAATTTTGAGCGAAAGTCTCCCTACAAATTTATTTTCTCCCGAAGCAAAACCCAACTTTTTTTTCATCAGCAGAAGGCTTTGATTTTTTGGTTTTTTTGCCTACCAACTTTCCTTTTTTTGAAAAAATGCGGCTTTTTCCCTGAAAGTTCCCTTTCTTCCTGAAAAAATATGAAACGAAAGCTATGGTAGAATTTCTTCTGTTATGTAAAGGGTCGGAGCTAATAAGAGATTGTATGCGAATCAGTTTGTTTTCTTTTATACTAAATAGTACACGGAAAATCAAAAAAATTTAGTAGTTGAATTTGAGTGGTTGAGAAAAGTATTTCGATACTTGATACTTTAGATATGTTTTGTTCTTTTTGAATTCTATCGATATCTCTTATTTCGCTCTATGTTTTTACAACGTATGTATGTGTGTGTACATGTGCATGTATTCAAAAAGAAATAGATGCATGTGAATCTTTTTTCTTATTGCGCTTCTTTCTTCTTCGTCTTGACCATGCCATGTAATAGATAGAAAAAAGTTAACTACAAACTTACATTAAAATGTGTAAGTACATTGTTTTCAATCGACTAGCGTATATTTGTATACGTGTCGTAAGTCATCATTTGATTGACCTCACAAAGTTTGAATACATTTCTTATTCAAAAATATATTTATAGTGTTTATTTTTACAATATATTACAGTTCTAAGATTTTGAAAAGGACAAATTTTTGTTTACATGCAATACCAAAGGGCATTACTATCTTATGTTATTAAAGAAGTTTCTGTTTTTTTTTGTACTGATATTAAAGAGTGGATGATGACATTCTTATATATGAAGTAAATGATTCATCAGGAATTTATTTCCTGATGCGGTTTACTGACACTCTAATATTTAGACCATATCTAAACTATTGATCTCAATTAACTGTACAACCAATCAGTATTCTTAATTTCGACTTAAGTCATGTTTTCGTAACGACTTAACTTTTTATCGGCCGATAAAATTCGTTAATGCTCGTTAACTTTTGTAGGCTAAACATGGCTTTAGTCTAAGCCAGACAACAACTACTAGGTAATATACGGTCTTCGGTAAATATCAGATCGTAGATCCTTTTCATCACCAGTATACGATAATTTCCGGATAGATTTTTTCAAAACGTTTAAGTTCAATAGAATGCACGCAAGATTAATTGCAAAAGTTTATGAAAGGATTTTTCTGAAAGGTAAACGATTGACGATGAATTATAATATGTGGTAAAAACCCTTCTAATCAATTAACATTTGAAATTAATCAGCCAGTATAAATTTACGAAAATTGATGGTGCATAAATATAGAAGTCACGATTCGATTGTTGTTTACCTGCCTCCGTTCTCTATATTCATGACATTTAATGTCAAAAACATTTCGTTTTGTTGAATTGTGTTTTTTTTATTCTTCCTCTTCTTTTTCACTTGAGTGTTCATACCGTACAAAACAAAAAATATTTCCATAATTTCTATGTAAATAGGTTTATGATTTCATTTTTCTCTCATCATGTTAAACAGAATAAATACAAAAATATTCGAATAATAATACGTACTTCCCTATAGTAAATATTGAATAAGTCATGAAATAGAGAAAGAAAAATTCTATTCATAGTGTTGAGTTATAAACAGAAGGCGTAGAAACTTAAAAAATATATGGTTAGATAATTAACTTTAAGATATTTAATATTATCAACCAGAGACAATCATCAGACTGACAGACTGGCTTAGTAGAATGTAAATCGAAGATTTGATCCTGCCTTGTTTTTTAAAATTTTATAGGATTTTATTCGAGTACTATTTAATTCATAAGTCATAATCGTTTGCCAAAAAATTTTATTGTATTTTACTTTCTGTGAGCAGAATGAAGCCTCCTTTACTTTATTCATTCAACAATCTACGATTAAACTATTATCAAACTTTCTGAACTTATTTCATTAAAATGTATTGTGATCATTTCAACTAGCTGAATATTTTATTAGTTACAATTCCGATTTTGTAAATAATTATTTTTTTTATCACCAACAATCACGTTTAAACCTGATATTTATTTGATAATCTGTAGGTGTAAGTGGTCATTGATGTTATATGTCAATATTTTTCTATTTTTCTTTAATATTTCTTCTAGAAGACCATAGTTATTATTTTTTACTGTTTTCATAATGAAACTAAATATGTACTTATAGAATCACTGATGAATCATTTTCATACATGTCAATATTGGGTTATAGTCAAAAGCGTATATAAAAGTATAAATTCTCTTTCTCTCTCTTTTTTTTTGAACATATTTGACTTCAACAATGAGTCATTATACGTTGGATATGGTTGTGTCCTTCCACAAAAGGCCATGGTAATTATAGTTTGTTTGTTGAACGTTATGTTCGATTAATGGTCGCTTTTTTACATGTCCACTTTAAGGATGAATAGAGAGAGGAAAGGAAGATGATTACTATCTCTAACAATTGTTTGCGTTTGTATTAAAATTAACAGCTCTTAATTACCGTATATACAAATAAATCATGTATACAGATCCGTTTATCCATGACAAAATTAATTAGTTGAATGTCTATGCTTCGTTTTCGCGCTCATCTATTGGAATTACCAAATCGATATATGCGCGAAGTAAAAATTATCGTTCAATAAATTATAGAAAAAAATAATCAATTTTAAAACGACAATCGTTTTTAATCAATTTTTAGTTATTGAGTCATCATTAGATCAAGCTTCGAATTTATTACAATTCTGCGATATTTTCGAGAAAAGGTATCAGAGACCCAATTTGGTTTTCAGAAATGTTATCCCGAGTCGAATCACGTTTTCCCGATTCGTTTCGAGCTCTGAAAGGTATTTCACACGTAATAGTTGATAAGCTTGTATGATGTTGCAATGTGTGAGAGTAAAAAATGATTGCCACCAGGAAAAACCCAAGTATTTTATACTTTGTCTGACTATAGAGAGGAAGAGATTTCTCATGATATGGCGCATGAAAAAGAGGTCTTGTATTTTGTCTCCTTTACTTTCTATTGTGTTCTAATTTTTTACACATGTTTTCCAGTAGGTGAAAGTTAACTCTTTTCAGTATGTATCAATAGTGTGGACAACGGAGACGTTTATGAATAGACATTTTTTGAACACTTAACTTTTTTCTACACAAGCCATGTATTTTGCCAATATTGTCAAAAAAATTTGAATAGAATCATTCGGCAAAATCCTGAAAAGTCATCAATTTCAGATATTGAGTGCTATTATACAGATTCTAGATTACTTGAATGAATTCAACTTTAAATGACTGAGGATGCAAAGTTTTTTCAAGGATTTTCATATCGAAAAGTTGAAAATCTTTAGTCGATGATCCCATATCTCTGGCAAGAAAAAGTTTAGAATTCAACAACATCTTTTATTTAGATTCTCAAAAGTAGATTTTTCATTTTATTTCTTGTGAGTTTTCATCGAATAATTAGTTTATTGAAACTTCTTATCTTCTAGATTTTCCTTCACATATTCAAACCGATTTTTCAATTTTCGGAAAGTCTTGTAATTTTCATCCATTTACAAATTATTTCAATTTTTACAACGTTATTTTCTAAAATATTTATTTAACTTGTTAATTACAGATTACCTCAGTGATTGGTTGTTCGTAATGGTTTTTTCTCAGCTGTGTTTATTTTCCCACTATTTATCGATCGGTGATGGTTTTTGTTTTTATACAGATACAAATAATGATGATTTTCCGGTAATTATCGTTCTATTGTGTCAAAGTAGCAGAACTAATCATAAGGATCTGGTCTATCAAGGATAATTGAGAAATGAATATTAGTCTTTCCGAGTTAAGAAATTCATCCATTTTTGCATTCTCATTTAGGGTTATAATCAGTAGATCTTTGATGACATATTCTTCTTTATACTTAATCTAGAAATTTAGGAATAGTTCATTGATATTTTTCTATAGTATTTGGATTAAAATTTTAATGACGAACATATAGTATTGAACAACATTACCGAAAGAAAGCATTTCCTTTTATGGAGCAGCTGTTAGATAGTATAATACACCAGTGTCCATACGACAGTGAATTGATAATAGTTATTTTCTTTGGTCTATTGGTCAAATTTGACTAGCACTAACACACACACACACACACTATGTATAAGCCATTTATTTTCTAGAAATATTCTGTTCAATTCTATAAAGGAATTGCAAATTATTTTCATTTTGAATAGACACCCAGTCTTTCTTTTTCAGTCTTTTTTAACAATTTCTTTTTTTAAATGTCTATTTTATAAATACATGTCTTTTATATTTTGACTTTTGTCACACAGATGTTGCATGTCTATATTGGAATCTATGGTGAAAGAGCAAAATACACTTTCTCACACATACACACACACACTAGTAGTCATATCTGAATCTAACTTCCAGAATTACGCAAAAAAATTTGGTCTGATTTCTTAATAAAATATGTGAAACTTATTTATAATCTGTTAAGAGTGGCGAAAAAATAAACTCCATATACAAATAGAAGAAGCCCTGAAAACAAAATTGAAAGTAGAAGTCATAAATCTTAGTACAAAAGAAAAACTAGTTCATCATTATTATTATCATAAATGGCTGCTTTTTTCCTTAAAACATACGATTTTATTGTCATTGCTTAAGAAGTAATTCTTCCTCTCTTTTTCGTTTTTCACCATGTATTTTTTATTATTGACATGTACTATCGTTTTCTCACACGTACACTCCTCACGTATCATATCACAATTAGACTCTGCGTCAGAGTAAATATTACCTATGGAGGACTATAAATGTTCAATCAACATATAAACTATCGACAAATGAATGAAAAAAAAAAATCACACGTCAGATAATTGATTCTTTATTTCTTTTTGTACAATTTCTTTTTTTCTCTCTCTCTTTTTCTCTTTCTATATTGATGAAATGTGATATAAATACATTTGTCTTTTTTATGACAAAAAAATTCTATTCTTCGATATATTTGTATGTGACAAAAGATCAAAAAATGATAATAATAATGGAGAAGTTTTTTTTAAAGAATTTGTGTATATGTGTGTGTGTGTGTGTGTGTGTGTGTGTAAAAGATGAAACGGTATCTTCATGGCAGTTATTTCTGCTGCTGCTGTTTATTTTTGTTCGATTAGAATGAAAATATAGGTAATTATACGCGTGAGATAGAGAGAGTTGAAAGAAGATGAGAGAGTATTTTTATCATTGAATTGGAGTAAATATGTGAAATAAAAAGAGAGACAGATTTACTGTTACACATTGTACTATTAGTTGAAGAGCCAACAAGGAATATCACAAATTGTTTGGTAACAATATAATAGAGAAAAGATGAAATGTAAATAATTATGAAACAACAGAAAACAAACATAGACTTATACACAATAGATTATAAATTCAATATATATTTATAAGATAATTTTCTAAAACAATTTCATGCTGGACTTCTTTGATATTAATGTATAGACAACTATCATCTGTTGTTATTGTATATCTTATTCTATATTTTAGATAGATTAAAAGTTGATTGTAGTCTATAACCATCTTGAATTTTTATTACATGCTTTTATTTTATACAAGCAGTAATGAAACAATCATTTCTTTTTGTCGTCAATTAAGATAATGGATTTAGATTTAAGCCATGTATTCCATATATTAGATGAAAATAGCGAAGGTAGAATACGTATAGCAAGATTTATTGATATAGCTCAAAATTATTATTCAGACGCTGAAGTAAGTAATGATAGAAAAATGTTTTTTTGTTTAAAAGTAAATAAAATAAAATAGTGGCAAAATGTATCTTGCGTGTTTGTTGTTACTTTCATTTCGTATTATCATGTTCATTTTAGATTTCTCACGTCTTTTATAGAATTTATCGATTTTAAGTTGATCAAACATCTTACTACATCTGAAATGTATACTTATTTCTAATTTATCGAATGTATTATAAAATTTAGTATCTTTTTGAATAAGAATATTTCTCACGTATAATGTTGCTTCATTAACATTTACAGTTTTATAACAAGTGAATGACAATACTTTCGTTTAAACTAATCTTTTGTTTGTAATAGAGTTCACTACTGAAAGAGATGGTTTAATGCATTGTAGAAAGAAATATTTTTTATTAAAATTAAGCATTCAATTGTTTAAATTTTCTTTTTTTACTCTTTATAATAATGCTACAAAATCCTCGATTTATTCTCATGAATGACCGACTATTCCGTTTAATTTTGAATAGAGAATTAGCTATTTCGTTGTTGTTTATGTATCGATTAGTCAATCATATTACGTCTTTGAGATTGTTCATGTAGTTACAGCAAACGTTTAAACTAAGTGGCTGTTATCTTTTTGCAATCGTCTCGCTATTTTAAGTTGAAAAGTTTCTTTTTACCTTGAGTATTTTTTCTCTTAGTGATGATGATGATGATGAGAAATCAAATACATTTTGATTTCTCTGTTTCTTTTTATTTTATTGTTGAAAGGCATTAGGTAACACAGAAGAAATTCGACAGTTCTGTTCTCTTCTGTATTATTACTTTTAAAAAATTTGAAAGTCATTTATATAAACTGCTATGCACTAAATATCTCGTTGAGTGGACGAATTAGATATATATTTTACCACTATTAGATGTCCTTGTTTCTTCAATTGCATTCTGTTGCCTTCAGAAGAAATTACTATAATCGTTCGGTGAATGACATGTGTTTCATATAAAAACAATTAGAATATATTTGTATAGTTCAACCATAGATTTTTTGTATATTATTTTATTTTTATTAAGAGGCATCGGTATTATTTGAAAGTATATTTTTGTTCTTTTTCTTGCTCTTGATGTTCCATTAGTTATTTCTATTACTGAATCATTCTGTTGAATGGATGATACTTAATATAATATATTTATCTTGTACATTAATTAAATATTACAATGAAGTAAACATTTTTATTTGTCACTTTTAAGCAACTTGCCAGTATAACTAAAGCATTAGATCCAACAAATTCTGGTTTAATTAATTATGACCAATTTTGTGATGGTATGTAAAATAAAATAATTTATTTTCTCTTCATTTCATACATTCATAGATGATATTTTCTTTTTAGGTATTGGACAAATAAGCTCTCTACAAGGATTAACTTGGAAAGAAGTTGCATCTGATTTAACGAGACGAAGTAGAGAAAATTCATTAGTTGAAGATTCAGATCGTCGTAGCCTTGTACGTTTAAAGTTAAATGTTTTCTTTTTTAAAAATCTCTTTTATCACATTCACTTTGTTTCTAGAATAATTCACTGAAAAAGATTGACACATTTTCTATACCATGAACGTTAGAAGTGATAAAGGAGGTGAAAAGGCTCGCTAATAAATAATTGATCATATGTTCTCTTGCTATCGATTAGAATGATAGATTATGAGAGAGAAAAATGAAAAAAGGTTTGATTTATATGTGATTGTTACTCATTGTTCACGTTCATTATGTGAAGTGTCTGTGGGAAAGATTATCATTCAGTTTGAAAATGCTCTTAATTCTTTTCTCGTTAATCACATAACAATTTTATCGACTTACTTTTTAGAATCAAGACGGATCGACGACAACATTTATCGAGTACGACGCTGACGAAACCTACGATCCAAATCATCATCATCATCATCATCATCATCCTCCATCTCGAACACCACCAACCGTAAACACCATTAGTTCAACACCAAAAATTTTGACAAATAATCACATCGATTATAATTCCAAAAACAGTATTGACTCTGTTTTTCGACCGTCTCCAAACGAAAAGTATGTTTTATCGACTATTATCTATCTAGAGCAAAATATTAGATAAACTTCTCAATTAACAACAGGATTGATCCCGAAGAATATACAGGAAACGGAAATAGTGATTATTCAACAGATTCAGAATTTCAACGAACACCACCACGTCCTTCGTACGTAAAAATTTGATATTTCATTTTAACTTGATCGATAGCTGAATGATAAAATAGTAGCTTCTGCTTAATTAGATCTTATTCGTCTCGTTTTAATTATGCCAGTGTGTCATACTGCTTTTAGAACGAGACAAGTTGCTCGGTGAGTTTTTCATTGCCTATTTATCGTGTATTATTTAATGTATTTTGCTTCAATGATCCACAAAATTTAATTCTATTTCACTGTGTTAGTGAGAGATTATAAATGTTATTTTGTTTCAAAGAGTCGAATAAATTTAATCATATCAAAAGATCGACACTGAATCACCTGATTAATGACTTTTCTACTTTTTCTGTTGAATCGTTATTTAAAAATCATTCTTAGAGAGGGTCATTGCATCTTTTTGCATCTTCGTCTTACATTCAATAACGCATGCGTATACAATAACTTGCTTCTCACGATAATAACAGGGTTGTGGAAAAAACAACAACATGTCTAACAAATGTACGTTGATAATACTAGAGATCATTCTTAATCAATCTTCTATTCTAAATAATATTGTCTAGTGCAAATGTAAAATAGTTGACTAAAACATTTTATTTTATTTTTTAGACAACTGAAACAAAATAGTAGTGTGACAAATTTTAATCAGCTATCAGATCTTGAGAATCAACAATTACAAGATACGGTAAACATAAATATTATCTATTCTCTGTTTAATTTCGTTATGTTCAGGAGAGGAATATCATTTGCATATTTAATCTAACTTTATTCATGTAAATTTATTATTCTTGTTTATTATTTAAAACGTTTGTAATAGTTCCTTCAAGTCTAATACTTAAGCTTTAAAAAAAACGTTTTCAAGATCTATTATTCTTACGCTGTAATTTTCTTAACATTATACTTTTTAGGTAGAAGTACTCCGTGGAGACATAGAAATCCTAAGAGATCAAAAACATTCGACAACAGAACGCTTATCAAAAATACAAGTAGAAAATACACAATTAAAGCAAAGGTATAGGATGATATTTATCTGAAGAATTTTTTTTCACTCTGATCATCTTTTAATCTCATTTTAGATTACTAGCACTCGAAGAAGGTTTACACGATCTACAGTCTCAACATAACAAATCAGTTCAATCAGAACAACAGAGATATAGTGAATTGATTGTATGTAGAAATCAAATGATATTAGAGGATTATTATTATTACATATTGCCTAATTTTAGACAAACAAAGATCGCGTTTTTATACGTGAAAAAGATACATTACAATCGAGGTAAAAAAAGAGTACACTCTGAAACTGTTTTTTTGCTAATAAAAATAATTACTGATAGAGAGGATAATACCATATACAGAATGAGTAATTAGACTTTGTGACGATTTCAACATTCTTACGTGTTGAACTAACTCGATTACTCATAGATATTTTAACACTATGAAGTACGTAAATTTTGATATCTCGATATCACAGATCGTTTCACAAATACTCATTTCTTTAATAGTAATTTGTTGATAATCTTCTTTCAAATAATTTTTATATTATTTTAGTATCATGAGGTCGGTTGGATTACGGTTTTTGTATGCTTTATCTATATTCACCATTATTAATCTTACCATTATTTCTGTTTTTTATCTTCTTATTTTTTCTTTTCTTTTATCTGTTCCTTGTATATTCATGTTGCACGTCTACATTTGTAGTTTCACTTTTCAAACCTATTAGATATTCTGAAACGTGTGTCTGCTTAGTTTGTAGCCCTAATATAACACTCTTAGTTACCCTCTCTACTTACTCTCTGTCTATCCCAATTGCATGCTAAAATTAAATATTTGAGTGAATCTAAATTACTTTATAACAAACAAGAATTACAGATCTAAATTACGATCGAGTGATTGATTCTTCTCATCTAACAAAATCAAATATGCTCTAACTAATCTAATCAGGACAGGTATGCTGCATATATAGGCGGACTTCTAGCAAAAATAACTTTCATACACTGTTATTCAATTACCTAAATATAACTATGTTAAATATAACGGTGCTTTTTTTAACAAAACATCTGTTAGTCTTTCTTTGACAAAATCTTCTCTATTTGTGTACAGAACTTTAGTTTATCTGGTAAGATATGTGTTAACTAATACATACGCCTAAGCAGTGATCTAGTAATTGCTAAAGCGTTCATCAAACCATACGCTATTAGAGAAAAGTCTATAAGTTAGTCTAACTTGAAGAAAAGGATTAATAATAATTTATTTTGTTTTAATATTCTATCCTGTTTATTTGTTCGTATACGCACTGCCGTGATCAAAGGGGGAGTGTAATGGAACGTAGGTCCCTCCTGCTTTTGGAAAATAAAACTTTTCTCTTGAACAATCTCTTTTCTTCCAAGAATTTCGTTTTTGAGTTCTTACCTAGATTTGGTAACCAATCTCATTCTTTCTCCCACTTTGTCTCCTAAAATATTTGACAGCAAAATCTTTCGTCCACTTTTCTTCAATGAGGAAAAAAGCTCAAACTGATGTCATCATCATCATCATTACCATTTGGTTATTGTGTTGAAATAATGATGCTAGATGATATCGTGTTCTCGTACTTCTATGATTTTTTCCCAAAAAATTTTCCATTCCTTCTGCTTTTTTCTCTCGCCGTATGGTACTGCGTATACGTCTATATCTGTCTGTTATTTTTACTTTGTGTCTTTAAACTTTGTTCTTAAGGACAAAATTAACTTTATCTTATTTTCTTATGTTTAATTAGGATAAATGCCATAGAACTTGAATTAAAACAAACTCAGCACGATAATAATTTATTAAAAAACAATATGAAATCATTAAATAGTGTAAGTTGATTGTCTTTTTCTTAAAATTTTATTTTCTTGTACATTCATTATACTGTATATTTCTTTGTTTTTATTTTTGTAGAAAATTGAAAATCTTGATGATCTATTACAAGATAGTCAAATAAATTGTAATAATTTATCAGATGACAATTCAAAACTATTAGAACAATTACGATTACAACGTGAAGAACTTGAACAAGAGAAAAAGATTTGTGCTGAAGTACGAAATAGAAAATTAGCAAATATAATCTGTAGATATATTTTTTTTATGATCATTCTAGCTTAATGAACAGTTAATGATAGATTCATCAAAACAAAAGATGGGTCGTACATTAAGTCGAACAGAAAGTATTTTAAAAAATTCTGAAACTCGAATACAAGATTTAGATTCACAAATGAGATCATTAAAACTTGTATGTGAAATAAAATTACACAGATCTGTATCAATTATTTTATATCGAATTAATTTATTTAAGGAAAATGACCGATTAAAACAACAGAATGAAGAACTTGAAGCACGACTATTGAGTGCACATGTTAATGAAGGAAGATCGTTATTAAATACGACGGATGAATCTTGGGCAGCAGAATTAGAACAATTAAGTAAAGATGAGGTATGTAGTTGTATTTGGATAACAACAAGCTTTCATGACATTTACTTTGTCATTTCTGAACAAGAGAAAAATCTGAACTTTGTTGTTTCTTTTGTCGTGACGTGTCAAACATGCGAGTTCTAGGATATATCTTTCTTTTTTTTTACTGACATACGTGCATGCGCTGGTTTGCTGTGTTCAGATATTAATCGTATTCTTTCTCAAAACCTTCTTTTTGTAGAGTAGAATTAACACTATTTTCAATACATCAGCGTTGAAAAACTTGTCAAGTATTATAAATTTCTTTGAATAGAAGGATCTTAATTTTTTTTTTTTTACTCTTCTGTTGTAAAAAAATGAATTCAAGCTTAAAATTTTGAATTGAAAGTAGAAATGCACCAATGCTGCTAGATATCATTTCGGTTAATCTAAGTTAGGAAAAGCATTGAACTCGTAAGGTTCATAGTGGAGCAATTTTCATAGCAATAGATCAGTAGTTCGTTGAACTGAAGGATCATATATAAACAAATGTTTACTTTTTGGCTTCTGCACAAGATGACACTTAAGCGAGAAACGAAAAAAAGAGGAAAAGAAAATATACATAGACATAGAAAATGTACTAGAGGTTTGGATCTCGTAGACTACAGATAATTGACAATGCACAATGAAGTGTGTGAACAGCGTTCTTATTACTTAAAAATTTTTTTTCGTCATTTCAACCGAGAAATTATAGAGAGTTTAAATACTGATAAATAGATGCTACCTTCAAGAGAGTTGACAACGAGGAAAGAACAATGGATGATATGACCATTTTCACAATTTGAGTTAAAACTGTCAAAAACAATCGTAGTATTTAATAGAGACACATTAGTGTCATTTAGTCTCGATCTATATTGATATGTGCTTAATTTGAGTCTGTATGTATGAAATATAACGAAATTATCACGATAGACGGAATTTTTTGACTCGATTAAGCCACAAACTGTTATCTTTAAAGCGAATCCCAATACTTATAGCTCATGAAGAAATTGAGAGAACAATTTCGTGTTAATGACCGATACCGTGAATACATTGAACGAATGTTAATGGTGATCATGGAGAACAGTCCACAATTATTAGAAGTTAAATGTTCCGCAAACGGTTTATCCATTGGAAGTGGAATGTCAGCATTAACTTTTCCAAAAGAAATTTCTACACCTTCACCACTCACTACTACGTTATCCACACCCACAATAACAGCTAAAGAATCAAATTCCCAAATAACACCAACCGAATCGACCAATGAACCAATCATATATGTTCCATCAACAACGACAAACGCTAATAATGACAAGTACTGCCGCCTGTAATCAATTGGGCCTTTTTAACATTAAAATTTGTTATGCTAATTTAACTTAACCAAAAGCATCCCCTATTACCAACGCATGTCTTCTCTGCTTTTGTCTACAGTGTTTTCATTAGATCTGCTTGTTTACTTTATTTAATCGATTAAAATCTTCTTGTAGTAAGTGTGTATCTGAATGGTGCTTATTGTGTGTATTTATGTGTTGTTTGTTATTTTCTCTCTTGTTTAACTCTTCTTATTGCTTGAACAAATCTAGAAAATGTTTAATAGTTCCTCTAATTCTACTCTCATCATTCCTAGTTAAATGAGAAGACATCGTCATAATATTTACTACGATTAGAGTGCACTATTTTGAAAGAAGTAAATAAGAAACCGTTTAGACTGTAAATGAAAAGAGTTTGTAAATCTATGTACTAACTACTCTTCATTCATTGTGTCGACGAAATGTATATCAAAATTCAAATCATTGCTTCTGTAGATATACATATATATATATATATGATACAGAAGGATTTTTACTAGTTTTGCACGTGCATTCTCTATATGCCTATGATACATGTCTCTCTTTTCCTTTGTATTTTTGTTCTTTCCTTATTTACCAAGACTGAACTTACTAATATATGTTTTTATGTTCATTTAGCTCTTAAAACGATTGGATAATGAACATAAAACGAATAAACGTCTTCGCGATTATATTGATACACTTTTAATTGGTATTTTAATGAATAATCCAACAATATTAGAAAAACAATAATTTTTTTTCATTGAAAAAAAACATTCCAGTTTATTCTATTATGATTTTTTTTATCTTCTTTCCGTTTAATTTTTATCCACCACCGTCCAATGTATTTTTAAACCATACACGTTTTAGATTTGTTTTATCATATAACTGCAGTGATAAAATGAATCTCACTCTTTTCTTTCATTGTCTCGAGTTTCGTCCATAGTTCGTTTTTATTTAATGTAAAATATTTTTATTATGTGACGAGAATGTTT